TGGGGCTCCCGCTGTGCCCCGTCCTCGCCGGCGCTGGGTGCTGCCGCGTTCCAGGTTCGGGTGGTCCTGACAGGTGTGCGGTGCTAACGGCTGCTTGGTTTGCGTTTCCCCGAGGGCACAGGATGGGCAGTGTCTTCTCACGCGCCTTTGCCTCGAAGGCATCTCCTTCCCCTGCGAGGACAGCGTCCCTGCAGCACCGAGACCTGGCCTCACCCCCAGCCCCCAGCCCTCAGCTTCCTGAGGGCCCAGCCCGGGCTCCTGTCTGCTCCCCCCTGGGTCGGAGGTTGGCCCTGAGGAGCCTGGCACCGCAGGGGACGAGCCGCGTCTGCTGTGGGATCACCGCCCTCCCCGAGCCTTGAGCTCCTCGTCTGTGAAATGGGGAGAAAGGATAGGGCCTCCTTTCGAGAGGTTTCCCAAGTAGCAAATGTGCCAACACACTCTGTGCACCATATGCTAGAATATGCAGCACAGATCCGGGCACGTGGGGCACTCGTAGAGGAGATGAGCTGTGGTGAGGATGATTGGTGATGGATTATTCCGTGTGCTGCGTGGAGGAAGGCCCGACCCCATGACCCAGAGAAGAGCTGAGCCAGGACAGGGCCACTGAGAGGTGCTGCCCACGCACCAGGGCGCCTCCTTGCTTTGCTTCAGGAGGAGTGTTTTTTTCTGAAATGGGTGCCTGGGAGCTTGGGAGCGAAACGTGGAAAAGGAAAGTGAAAAGAAACGGACCCCACCACGGTGGCCGCCCGATACACTCCACCTCCCACAGCGAGTGTTTGGCTGGAAAAACACAGTCACCGTGTAAGGAGTAAATTTAGACGCAGAGAAGTTACCGCACATTGGGCCCTCACCCAGGAGTCACGCTGGTCCGGGGCGAAGGGGTCAGCGTGGAAGCCGAGGTCCCGGGCCCTGGCCCCGGCCCGGCCTCCTTCCTCACCCGCTCACGCAGACAATGACTGGCCCTGGACCGGGCCCAGCGAGACCTTGTTTAGCGCGCTTCCTGCCCGCTTCACCGGCACAAACAGCTATTCTGGGTTTGGGCTGCTCTCCAAGTTGGGTTACATGACGGTAAACAAGTTTTTTTGGGTGAGTGAAGTTTTAACCGGGCACTTCGCAAAACACTTTTAAAAAGATGATTTGGAGAAACGATTAAGTGGAGCGAGAGACGCGCATGGGGCTGTGGAAACGTTCTCTGCAGCTCTGTTTACGCTGGGCACCGGGCGAGCCCTGGGACCCGTTTCCGACCAATCGTGAATGTTTCCCAGAGACTCGGGACTTTCTTCTGGAGGCGAGCGGTAATTGCCCATCTTTTTTTGAGGATAAAAATGGAAAGTGAAAAGTTCAAGGAATCAGTTAGCTGCTTGACTCTGCTGAGGAATTCAGCAGGATGTGCACGGCTGCCCGACTAAGTGAGGCCACAGACGCTGAAGAAGTGAATTTGCCCGAGTGACAGGCGCAAGGATGGCTCCCATGTCCCCCGTAAATCTGCCGGGTGCGCCCGGACCTCCGACTCCAACACAATTCTCACGAGAACACAGTGTTCTCCACACGGCCCCGCGCTCCCCGTGGGAACCGGCGGGCTCGCCAGGGCACACGGGGTCACGCTGTGGTTTATTTATTAAAATTTTCTCAGTAAATGAATGCATCACGGTCCACTGACTGTGGGCAGGCCTCCCCGAGAACGAAGGAAAACACGGAGAGGCACGCCAGAAGCCTGAACCAGAAAAATGACTGTCACCTTTTCTTGCTTTTTTTAGGAGAAAGTTCTATGCCAGCTGCTCCCGACAGACTTCGGCCAGGGCAGTCGGCTATTTGCCGGGAAAATGCAGGAGGTACCACACGCCCTGCCAGGCCTTTGGCGAGTCCCGAGGTCCGGGCCACGTGGTGTGCATGTGGGTGACCCAGAGCGGCCACCTGAGGACCCCCCACCCCAGGCTGATGCTGAAAAGGGTGAGGATGGAGCCTCCAATGGGAGGCTGGGCCGCCTGGCTGACGAGGGGCGAGAGTGCCACCTGCCGGCGCCCAGGCAGGGAGCCCAGCTTCGATTCGGATGCGGAGGGGGTTGGGGCGATCGCATTGGCCTCAGTCTGAAAGCACCAGGCCTGCCTCCCAGGCACCCCGCCCGCCAGAGGAGAGCGTCCACTGTGAGAGGCAGCAAGGCCGTGGGCCCCGATGCGTTGCTGTCAGGGCGACGTGGGTCTCCTTCCCCGAACCCCCCGTTCGCAGCTGGGAGTCGTGGATGAAGTGGGAGAAGAAGGGAACAGGCCATGCGCTTCAAACCCACGTCGAAGGGAAGCCGGTTAAGCTCTGGGCGGCGAAAGGCCAGAATCCCGAGGCTGCTGTAACCGCCCCCAGTTCAGCCTGGACTTCGTCCTCCGGGCTCCGTGGTTCAGTTCAGTCCCCCCGCTTCCTGGCAAAAGTATCGACCCCTAAATTCCTTTTATTATGAATATGTTTTCATTGATTTTTAGAGAGAGAGGAAGAGGGAGGGAGGGAGGGAGGGAGAGAAACAGTGATGAGAGAATCATGGATCGGCTGCCTCCTGCACACCCCTCACTGGGAATCAAGCCCACAACCCGGCCATGTGCCCTGACCGGGAATCGAACCCAGGACCTGCTGGCTCATAGGTTGAGGCTCAACCCCTGAGCCATGCCAGCGGGGCTGAAACGCTCCATCTTTTAACATAAGTTAGAGACAAACCATTGCCAGCACGTGCGGTCGCCGAGACACCCTCCCTTATCCTGGCCGCGGTGTTGGCCGCTGTGTTCTCTTAACTGCAGCTGAGTGGGCACCCAAAGAACAAAAGCCATGTTGCTCATTCTGCTCCCGCCCCCCCCTGTCTGCCATTTATGATGGAAACCCTGACGGGCCAGGCGGTGATCGCCCTCCTGGCACACGCATGGTTCTCTGTGGCCGGTCATGGGTTTTTCCGTCGTAGTTTTCCGCGGGGCCTCCTCCCGAGAGGTCATTTAAGCCTGCGTTGCAGCGTTGCCTGCCCGGGGCCTTCGAGCTGAGGGTCTGTGACTTTGGCGGCCGGGACCCGCGGGGACGTCCGTCCGTCAGACTGACTCTGACAGCCCGGTGGGTGGGTGGGCAAGCCAGGCCTGGGGCTAGACACTGTGGCCCAGACCCTTCAAAGGAAATGTACAGACCGAGTTTTCCATCCTCTGCCCCTGTCCTAACTGAGATAAAATTATGTGTGTGTATGTGTAACCTCTATTTTTATTATTGACAGTATTACAGATGCCCCCCATTTCCCCCTTTCGCCCCCCTCCACCCAGCCCTGACCCTCCCCAGCCTTCACAGCACTATTGTCTGTGCCCATGGTCTATGCATATAAGCATATTTGTTCTTTGGTTAATCTCTTTCCTTCACCCCCAACCCCTTCCCCTCCCCCCCCTGTCAGTCTGTTCCCTGCATCCATACCTCTGGTCCTCTTGTTCGTCAGTGTATTTGGTTCGTTAGATTCCACACCTGAGTGAGATCGTGCGATATTTGTCTCTATTTTAAAGACAGCAACCGGACTAAGGCTCAAAGGAGAATCCTCGCTTGGCGACAAAAGACCTCCGTGTGGTCACATTCAGTGGAGACGGGACCGGGACGCGGGAGGAATGCGACATCCTCCCGCCTGGCACCGCGAGGCACCCAGC